GCCCTAAATGGGATGAAACATTTATCCAGTACTCCCTGGTATTTAATTATTCTTCCGATTGACATCAGCCCATGAGCATTCATGTAACCAATCAAACCCCTGTAAACCAATACTTGATAATTTAAAATTGTGTTTGTTAACTCTTTGGAAACTGTGAACTGCGTTTATAGGGCGTAATTTAGACAAAATAGCACTACGTTTCAATTCATGTATAATCCCCATCCAGGCATTAATGAAAACAAAACACGTAGATCAGCGAAGAGTCTCTTTTCGGTGAATTCATTTTCTTAGCTGTACAATCGCAAATATATGTGTTATTTTGTATGTATGTGTACAATAAGTTTATCAAACAAAAATACAATTGGTTATAGTTATTTAAACTAGACAGGTGAAGATTGGTAATTGGAGTTACGCAATACAAAATCAGTCAGGAAAATAAGTTGTTAGTGAAATTAGGGTAGTAACAAAGGTGATGAGTTGTCACAAACAGTTGTTGAAAGAAGTTATGTAATAATATGAAGAGTTTGATGAGTGAGTTTTACTCAGGATGCACATAGGAACAAAGTAGATAATACGAAATTACGTAAGAGTTCTAATTGAATACAAGAATTATAAACAATTAAAGAAGAGGCAAAGAAACAAAATTAAGTCATCAACATAAAAAAAATCAAATCAAAAATGTTGTTACCAAGACAGTAGAAGTGGTTGAGTAATCCTCCTTTATATGCACAGCTCTGGTTTTTCTATGTGAATGGCCAGAGCTTCAGCGATACAAAGAAGGCGAAACCATATTGCCTTTGATAGGTTGTTCTTGACTCTGTAGATTACTTTGAAGGAGGTGTTTGTTGAAATGGAATGATCAGTGCTAACCAGGTGTTCAATTATCGCACTCCTTATTGCACCACTATTGCCTTTTCGCAACCATTCTGGATAGTGTTCTTGAATCCTCTTGGATTTGATTTGACTTTTTGATGACTTAATTTTGTTTCTTTGCCTCTTCTTTAATTGTTTATAATTCTTGTATTCAATTAGAACTCTTACGTAATTTCGTATTATCTACTTTGTTCCTATGTGCATCCTGAGTAAAACTCACTCATCAAACTCTTCATATTATTACATAACTTCTTTCAACAACTGTTTGTGACAACTCATCACCTTTGTTACTACCCTAATTTCACTAACAACTTATTTTCCTGACTGATTTTGTATTGCGTAACTCCAATTACCAATCTTCACCTGTCTAGTTTAAATAACTATAACCAATTGTATTTTTGTTTGATAAACTTATTGTACACATACATACAAAATAACACATATATTTGCGATTGTACAGCTAAGAAAATGAATTCACCGAAAAGAGACTCTTCGCTGATCTACGTGTTTTGTTTTCATTAAAATAGCACTACACACTGCTGGAAAATTAAGCTTTTTAGTGTTTCATTACCCATTCATTGAGTGTTTCTAAGTTACTACGGGTCTTGTGTCTACTGTTACTGCAACGTTTTTAGTTATTTAACTGTTATTAGTATATCTATAGATTAATGAATCGAATTTCTGCACCAGTTAGTCGTTCAGTTGATATTGAATTATAAAACGTGGGTGTAAAGCGAAAAGCAGTTTGGGGGAAGACTGACAAGTTTTTCCGACTCTGGATGGCAACAAATGGTGAATACATCTGCATAACGATTTCGAGCTGGAAGTAACAATCAGAAACTTCCCGGGTTGATGTCATGTTTTCGTTTGACTAACTCTAACTCCATTACCATCCTATTTTTCTTAAAGAATGTCCATTGACGTGCGTAGAACACGTCCTAAACACTTCAATCAGTTATATGCTTCACAGCCTCATAGATTAATTTGACTCTTTTACCTCATATTGTTAGCCTAACCTCGTTATTACTAACCACATTGCAATACGTAACAGTATTAAGTGAACAAAGACATCGGTGGTTAAAAACCACTGGCCTTTTCATGTTTTCTAGCCCCAGCTACCATATATCCTAGTCGTAGAGTAGGACACAGTGAACTATGGAATTAGCAAATCCACCCTTTAATGGGTAAGAGGGAATCAAATCTCATAAAAAGACAGTTTAAATATGATGGAGAACCAACAACCACATCAAAAATGGTTTAAGTTGGTCAGGACAACTTTAATGTATTCGTCCTCTTAAGAAAAAAGCATTATTCCTGAGTTAAACACGTACGTTAATGGCATTTATATTTATATTTTATATATATTTTATTTTGATTATAACTCGATCGTTTTGATTCATACACCGCAAAATGTAGTAACACATAGCTTAATGGACTATGGCTACACTTTAACTTATCACTTGTCTAAAGAGGTGACTATTATCATTTTAGTCTGCAGGTTTTGGTGGCTAGTTTTAGTAGAACTGCAGCAAAAGTAAGCTAAATAAGTCATAATAGTCTAGTGTATAATACGTGAAGTAAATAAGAGAATGTCTGAATAACTGTGGTCACTTATGATATTTCCTTGTTTAATGGTAATGTCCTAGAATTCTAGACTATTCTAGGTGATGCCTAATTTGATTTCGTGATTAAGTATAGTAGCGTGATTATCTGGAAACGACTCTACACATACGACTAGTCAGCTGTGAAATCAAATTTCCAAGCTTCTTTATCAATATACACAAACTTTTAGAAGGAAAAAAAATTGTCAAATGACGTAGAAAAGATTTCCTACCTAAGTTGTTTATTTTGTCTCAATTTTTTTAAGATAAAATTTTTAAAAATAAGATTTTCTCCCTTTGCAAAGTTCCAAAGTCATCAAGGATACAAATTGTTTCTAACATTCAAAATATTTGTGGGTGGTGATTAGCAGTGGAATCCAGGATACGCATTTCGTCCTATTTGTGACTCGTCATCTGGGTGTACCTGCATTTCCCAGTGAGTGATGGTGTTCCCACCGAGGCTCGAACCCAGTGCCCTTAGTCTCAAACACCGAAGCGTTACCCACCGGACCACTTGGGCCACGAGAGCCACCTCTTGTGTAAAGGGCCATATTAATTTTAATTGAATTTGAGATTTCCCCGTCGATTGATTGAACCGAAGTGACTCGTGGCCCAAATGGTCTAGTGGATAACGCTTTGGCGTTTGAAACTAAGGGCACTGGGTTCGAGCCTCTGTGGAAACATTACCACTCATTGAGAAATGCAGGTACATCCAGATGACAAGCCACAAATAGGACGAAATGCGCATCCTGGATTCCACTGCTAGTCACCATCCACCAATTAACTTCTAATTACATGCCCAGACATTGTCGAAGCATCTGCACAAGAAGCCGACATGTCAACTTGAGACCGAGCACTTCGGTCCAATCAATCGACGGGAAAATCTCAAATTCAATTAAAATTCAAAATATTTATTTTTAGGCCCTTTGTGATTTGTAAATCCATGTGGCAAAGAATAGAAGGCAATATCATTTATTTGTAAAACTACCTAGAACAAACATCATCAATCACTGAAGAAATAGGTGGACCCAGATAACTAGTCTCAAATAATACGAAACGCACTTCTTGAATTTCATTGCTGAACACCATAGACTGAGAACAACAAAACACTAATCTCTTTTCACTAGCCAAAGTGTGAGGATAATAGACATATTTACTTCATTTTACGAATTTCTTATGAATAATAGACATCAACGCACATTCGTGATGGCAAGCATGTAGCACTGATTTAAAGATAGATAAGAGTATCGGCTTTCAGTAATTTACAGGTGATAGAGTTTTAGCAAGGAAGCCAAATGAAATAAAGACAGAATAAAGAAATTGACGTTCGTCAGTGTTTCAGTGGTAAGTTACTCACCAACCACACCGCAAGTCATCCGGGTTCGATTCTTTGCAGATGCACTTCCAAACCTCACCTAGCCGGTTGTAGGCCAAGTGAAGAGGCAGGGTGAGGTGCAAGGTAACCAACCTCTGCTACTGAAGCTTCAAAGCTTGAGGCTCAGTGTTCTACTCGGTAAGCAAAGGAATAAAAAATAAAGAACTTGTTGGGGATAAAAGTATGCGACAGATAGTAAAATGTGTTTGTTGACTGAAGGAAGAATTTTTTGAACAGTTAGTAAAAATATTTATCTCATTCATCTAAAACAGAAGAGCATTAAACAAGTAGGACGACTTGAAAGAAGAGATAAAACAAAGGCAGTAAACTAATACCTAGGCAAAACAGGAGATTAAATTAAATGAGTCAAACTAATAAGGAATATGAGGTTCAGTGAATCAGTCTCATAGCTGGGGTACTATTTTGCTGTGCATAAGCGTTGTAAATGTGTTTATACCACTTTTTTCACATTATTTTTATCATGTTTGCACCCAAATAGTTTGGAAATAAAAGGTTTGCGTCGGTGGCACAGTGGTTAGGACTCTTGCCGATTATGCACATGGTCCAGGGTTCGATCCCCTGCAGACGCACACCTGATATCTATGGTCGGCCTGACAAATTTGGGCTACCGATATCACATGCTGAAAATTCCATACCTGTACCAAAAAATACGGTATGGAATCAAGCTGTAATAAAAAAAAATCAAAAAAAATTGAATGTTGGGTAGCTCATAATCCTGAATTAATTTTATCAGTGTTCATAATATCCTTGCCACAAACTACTCCATACGATAATGCTTATTGTTTTTAACTGTTGCGTTGCTGAATACACATTTTGAAGTTCAGGAATATGTAAATGCACTTGTAAGCATGGCACATATCACTGTGCTTATCTCTTCTACAAAAGTATTAGTGAATGTAAGCACAGCAAGCTAACTAGATCTTAAGCTTTCTATTGACTAAATACAATTATCAAACTTTTAATATCATTTTGAGTAGTTTAATTTCCACTATGAAAATATGATTAGCATAAATTCATTTTCATTTTTAACTAAAGTTTTATGAATTAAACTGATTGTCATCTTTGATGGATTAATAATCTCTAGAGTAGAGATTTGCTAACTAAGCATATGATTCTTTATCTTTTTTTAGGATCGAATCACATTACATCGAGAGTTTGTATCACTTGGTTGTTGTTCAAATCCTAGTGGAATAATTCAGTGCGATTTAGCAGTGAACAAAACTGGATTTGTTCCTGGTGAAACTATCATTCCTCAAGTACACATTACAAACCGATCGAGTCGTGCTATACAAACTGTACACTTAACATTTGCTCAGGTAATGCTACAAATTAATACTCGCCTAATGAATGTTTATCGTGTTGTTTTTTAAAAAAACTGCCCAAATTTACTGAACCAGTTGCATGCTTAAATAAACTAATAGAAACCTACTGATTAACAAAGCTATTATTCTTCGTTAGTAAAAACAATAACAGATAAGGTGGAAAGACAGTTAAGAAATTCACTTTGCATTCTCAGACAAATATTAGTTTATGATAGATTCTTTTAAGGCTAAAATCGGTAGCAGAAAGCTTAGTATCTTGGATAGAAATATTTTGGTTAAAATATCTGTATATTTTTTTCTAGTGAAAACAATTCAGAAGTAAGAATGGTTAAATCTCAATTAGTAGCTGCTAGATTTATCAGCGCTTGTGTCTGTCTACTGAATACTATCAAAAGTGGTTTTTATTTACGCACTATAGTGCAAACAAATTCTGTGGTGCGCAGAAGAGAAACTTACAACTTTTTCAATGGAACACTTACAGCGAGCTCACTGAATGAAAGAAGAAAGTACTTAGCCAGTTAGGGAAGATTTTAACTGTTGATTTTTATCTCACAAAAACCTGAAGTACACTTTATTAAAACAACTATGTCGCTAGAGAAGAGAAGTTGAAGTCATCTATTTAATAAATGAATAAATATCAACAAAACTCACATTTATTTTGTTAATTTTAGCTTCACTTAAATCCTTTGGGGTACATAATTTTCCTAATTCCTGATTTTCATGTTCACTATTTTTTAATGCCTTATCCCATTATTTATTGATTTTTATACGAATGGAAGATTGTATTAGCTGCAGTATTTCCTCAATGGAAAAAAATGCTTTTTGCTAGCTTTTTGAACTCTGAAATGGCGCTTATTTTGATTCTTTTCTATAGTTGGGTTTGTAAGGGTTTGTTATCTTTTTACGAGTTGATCATGGACTGATATCAGTTAGAGAACCATTGAAAACCAGGGAGTACTGGACAGCTGCTGTTTCATCCTAGTTTGGGAATCATCGGCAGTACGCATCCACTGGGATTCGAACCCAGGACCTTCCAGTTACAAGGCAAGCACGTGTTTTGATTCTGATGACAAAATGTTTCACCATTACTTCTGAAAAATTTCTGAATAAATGATAAATAAGTGATATGCGAAAACACTAGTGACAGCTTTAGAGATTAAGAGTCGGATACTACTTGATTTATTAAGAAATATACTACATTTTCGAATGTCACATTAAGCTTACTCGAAATTGGCTTAAACTGAGAACCTGTATAACTATCAAGGCAATGCTGGAAAACTCAACAGAAGGTCATATTATGTTTGATTTAGATTATTAAAAGTTGTTAGTTTTCATCACGAAACAAGATCATTTGGAGAAATCATTGGAAACCAGGAGGCTATGCTATTGTTGGACTTTTCATCAGTGCATACCCATGACCACACCGAACATCGAACCTGTGACTTTCTGTTAGCCTAAAATCTTAAGCTTGGTTTCCTGGTTTTCCGGTACTTGAATATTATAAACACATTAAAAGTTGTCTGATAGTCTTCAGAAAGTTCTCCCGATCTGATCACCACATATTAAGTATATCTCGCATAAAGAGGATGACTGATCAGTGATGTGAGTACTTCAGTGTATAAGGTTTAAGTTCTGCGCTAATTAGTTCACAAATGAATTTTCAAACAAACGAATACAAACAGAGATATCCAGTAAACGAATGCAAACAAGAATGGTCATTGCCTTTCCATTGACTGACTGTTAATCACTGTACATCTGATGATTTACAAAGTCACATGAAGTATGCAGAGGCTTGACTGACAAAGATGTCATATATTTGAAACGAAAACAGCTTCACTTAGTCTTTTTTATTTATTGTTTTTAAAACAACTGTTAACCATTTCTCTTCTGTCTTCTGTTAATAATGAAAGGTAGCCAAAATTGTATCTTAACTTGGTCTATAGAGTTCTTTTTCTTCCTACAAACTTTTCTGTAAAATCACTACCTTACAGACTACACACTGTATTATTCATAACCGTTTTTGGAATATTTCAGATGAAAAACACCATGGGATTTTTATTTTCAGTGAAATGTATTCAGTTAACTGACATTTAATTTGTTTCAAGATATCATTGTTTAATGCTAAATATATTATTTGAAGACTCTTATATACATGTTCATGTTATAAAATATCGTAATTTACACTAATGAAACTGTATCAATAGTGAATTTGCTTTGAATTTTCGAAAATAACTACAACTATAGTATAAATGAAGCCTTCTAAAACGGCGTTTCACCTTCAAACCACTTACATTAACCTATGTATTTTAATTCTAAAACAAAACATTGTTACAGGTTTGATCACCAGGTGACACCAGTTAGAGAACCATTGGAAAACTATGTAGTACTGGACAGCTGTTTTTGCCTAGTATGAGACTCCTCATCAGTAGGCACCCACTCTCTAACTGACGCCAATTCGTGATTAAACCCGTAACCAATCGAATCCCTGCAAACTAACTGTTGATAAATACTGTTGTTTTTATAGGAAAGCATGTATGCTATCAAAGCATTTTGTTTTTTGAAATCATCAGTAGGTCTACCCTTATTTTCTCTTCACAAGCATCCTCTTAACTGAGATGATATGCTGCATATGTGACTACATTCAATCTCGTAACCTAGAAATTTCTCTTCCCACCAATTACTTGAAGGAAATTTTTTCTCTGATGTAACTCTGATATTCACTTCAAATTCAGTGAACATTTCTACATAAAGAAAGGTGACGTAGACATGTGGGCTCCTCCTGAATAACTGCTTTGCTGACTGTTTCATGACGAGTCTCATCTTTTGATCAGTCAGCTGCATCTCTGCGAAAGGTATATGGATGACATTTTCATAATTTATAGTGCAAAATTCGATCTAAACAATCTCCTCAACTCTAAATTCGCTGTATATTTCGATAAGATTCACTCTGAAACGAAAAATTCAACCTACTTTTTCGATTCCTGGATATACTACTCACTTGAAGACAAAAAAAGTCCTATCTGAAGGTCAACAAGCCGAATGACAACATGGACTGGACAGTTTTTTAACTTTCAGGGTTTTGTCCCATTGATCAGATAGCACAAACGAGTGCTTTCTTTAAACTCAAGGTATCCAACGATCCTCTGGAAAGATATAGAAGAGACTGAATTAAAATCTCGGCGTGGTAGCCCACTAAAAACCAGATATTCACCTAGATTCATCGAAGAAAACACAAGAGAAAGTCAGCTGTCATCTAAAGTTGTAAATGTCCGTAACAAAACTTTCTTGACGAATCTGGAAATTAAAGGTAACTTCGAAGCGGAAATTCTTAAAAACCACCTTTTTAAGTATTTGAAAAAGACATCGCAAACGGCCATTTTACGAAGCACATTTTCCAGCAGACAGTCCAGTCAGCATAGCGCTTTCGGCTACTTCAATATCTATTTGTCTAATCACTTGTTCCTGTGGAACAAGCAATATCCACCGTACATAGCGTCAGACCCGTAATGCTATTTTGAAACATTGTCTATTTGAGCTATCCAGAGGTGAAAACAAGAATACCAATAGTTCCATCCTTGAGCACCTTGTCAACTCTGAACATTTGAAATCCCTGGATTATCGCATCATAGTGGTTCACGGAGTTTCCCAATATTAGCATATGTCGTATACACATCTCTGGCTATTCTGGCACTTTGCATCTAAAAGCATTAAATGCACTCAATGAAAAGCGATACACTCTGGCTGCAAGTGTTTCATATTTCAGTTTACTGCTGTTTTTCTTCTGTTTCTACAGTTATTATTATCCTCGTTATTTCTCATTAATAGCATTGCACTTAGCATATAAAAACTTCCGTGTACTTCCTTAGCTTTTATCTTTTTATTACATTTACATTAATTAGATAGTTTTCTACCTTTATCACCCCAGTTTCCTATTTTTCATTTATCGATTCCCTTCTAGGTTACACTTCACATTAGACGATGCATTTTCTAGCATACTGTCACCAGTATATGGTTGGGTTTATGAATTCTTTGTTAAATAGGAATACAGTTGTACAGCAGTTTGAAAATGACTGATCGAAGACAAAGATTTAACCGTTCATAAGTCCTCTTTTGTTAATTATCCTGTGAATTCACAAATAATCATTCTCAAAAAAGGTGTATACATGTTGAAAATATCAGTTCAGCGTCTATCTAATTTTTAATGATATGTCATTAACTCAGTGAATAGGCGGAATAATTCTTCTAAAAAGGACTGAACTCACAAACTAGTCAATAAGAAAGCACTTCATCATTTTACATTCATCACTCAGTTCAGTGCGTCGGTGGCATAGTGGTTAGGATGCTCGCCGACCAGGCACATGGTCCGGGGTTCAATCCCCGGCCGACGCACTCCTTTACCTCGCTTAGCCAGAAATAAAGCTGGTAAAGGGAAAAGGTTGGGCATGAGGCTAGCAACCTCATCCTGTAAAAATAAACACTACTAAAGAAACTTCAAGCTAGAGGCTTGAAGCCCTATGTTCCACTGATAACGTGAAGAAATAAAAAAATCTCAGTTCTTCAACCCAAATTTAAGATCCTATGACTAGAACATTAGTGTTTGTGACATGAATTTTTCAGGTTTAATTGGTTGGAAGCAGCATTTTGCGAGACTATTAGACGCAGATTTTCGTCACACAGTTGTTCATTGGCAACTCAAAACGACTTTGATTTTTCCCTAGTGATTGGAAAGCAACCATAGCATTGTATATTATCACTGAAAGACGAATTAGGCGTGTATATGATTTCAATACTTTCATCTATAGATAAATATAATCACCTGCTTTCCCTGTTTTCTTTATCTTTTATTTACATTGCTATTAAAGACAGTCTTTTTGAAAGGTGTTAATAATCAAAGTCATTTTGAAGTCCTACGTATATTTGCGACAAAGTTAAACGCTCAGCCTGCAGCATTAGGATTCGATTTATTCGATCAGTTAGATGTGAACAGTCTTGGTGGATTATTTTCACCATCTAATTCTTTCTCATCAAGAAGTTCAGCGAATCGTGTCGACCGTATTCAACAACAACATCCGCATCAACAACAAGAGCATCAGCTGTGTAACGTGAATGCAAAACAACAACACAGTAAAGATGCAGAATCGCATTCTAATCAACGTCAAAAAAGTCGCAAACGTCATCAACACCATTCATCGTCGACAAATGTAGTTGCTGTTCCTAGTCAAGGTGGTAAGGCTTTCTTTACAGATCTAATACATGTACCACCGCTCCCAACAAGTGGTTTGTTTGGAAGACAAAGCTTAATCTACCTGGAATATTCATTGATTGTAAGTCTTTTTGAATGCTGACAAGTGAATTTTCATAATTCTATTAAAATTAAAGTTTATGGTAGCATCTCACTATAATTATAATTGTTCCCTTCGGTTGCGAGTGGAACATAGGGCATCAGCAGCATATTTCTATGTAATCCGCTTCTCTTCAGTTATTTGTATCAGACTGCACGAGCGCCCGTGAGTTTTCACTTTCTCATAATTTCCTCTATATCTCTATCAAACGTCCAACTCGTCGTTTCCCATTTGGACTACACTCGAAGGCCTGGCACACGATATTACTGAACGGTCTCCTCAGTGTATATCCCACTCACCTCCATTTTCTTCTGCATATCTGTTTGATGTACTGATTTTTGGAAGGTCCATTGCCAAAGATCCCCGTTGCTAATGCTTTGTGACTGTTCATCTGATCTTCAGTATCAAGATAGCACACGCAGCTACTGATAAAAGTTTTCATCTGAATGTTGGCTATGCTTACGGTGACGTGCCTACTGAGTCTCTGAAACACATAGAGTCACTAACTTAAAGTAGGTGTTAAAAGTCACAGTCTTGTTCCCTGTGCTGAGTGCATCAGATCTTCACACTATTTTCAGAACACTGAACACCTGATTTGGTTTCTCAACCATAACTGGCTTTCACATCCTCATCTATGCAGCCTGTGTGCATTTGGAACCATTTTTCCTAAATGAAAGTGATGAAGCTCTAAATTTCTCCCGTTGTTGGTAACTGATGCTTGCAGTTATTTGTTGGGTATCTTGACCACCTCTATCTTCTCTTTATTCACTTAAAGTCCGATCTTTGCAGTCTCTTCTACCGAATTGTTGTTCTTCGCTTGCAGATTATCAAGTTTGTATGACATTAGACATAAATCATCCGCGAAGTCCAGATCTTCTGAAGTCTTCTTTTAGCTCTAATGTATTCCTATATACTCATTCTCCACAGTCTGTTGCATGATCCAGTTCGCCACAGTCATGGATATCCCTTGCGAATCACTTGGCATGATCATATAGTTGTTGAATGTTCTGTATAAGTTTGTAGGAAGTGCTGAAGCAGTTTCCAAATTGCTTGAAAACTATCTCTGTCTAAGGCCTTCTCAGTGTCGACAAAATTGAGGTAGAGAGTTGACTGCCATTCTATGAGTTGCACATGTTTTGTTTATCCTAGATCCAGCTTGTTCCAGGCTGGAGTTTTGCATTCAAAGAAACCTTTGATTTCTCCCGGATGATGCGGCTTGATATTTTGACTTGGGTGGATAGGAATAAAATTCCCCTCCATTTCTTAAAAAGGCTTAGGTTAGTTTTCTATGAGAATTTGACAAGGTAATCCTTCCCCCAATCAACAGATACCTTTTTTCCTTCCTAGCTTTCTGCAATAGCAGCTAGAGGATATTTCAGGGCATGTAGTAAGAGTACATATATATATATAATATGCTAACCATTTTTAAAATGATTATTCGAATCGGGTTCATTAGTGTCTTACCAGCCGCCTTTTGAGTGACAGATATATCTAAGTTGCATCCTAAACCAATCATTTTATCAACTTATCAACTTTCGAGTCATTATGAACTATTCAGACTAACATATAAGTTCATTGAAATAATTCCAGGGGTATTTCTCTGCATCTCCAATTTTAAAGCTTTAGGTTAATGAGAACAGTTGTGTTCCTAGTTGTCCATTTCATTGTATGATATTGTGTACTTCACAAGAAAAATCATATATGCAGTTCTGATCTTAAAATATCCTACTTAAAATGTTTATATGATTACTTTTGCCATTCACTTTTCTCTTACATAATAACATCAGTAAAGTGATTGATATATCATCATTTCAATGAGTTACTGTTTATGTATTCACTGTTTAGTCCCAAAAGATAACTTGTTAGGGCAGATGGAAGTTTGAAGCTGCGACTCGAATTTCTAATGTAGATGAAAATCGCAACGCTTAAAACTTGTCCAATTCAATCAGTATGCTGAAATATTTCGATGTGCACTAAGTAAAGGGACAATAAACATTTGTTTCAATGCCCATTACCCTGGTTTTCTGAACACTCTGTGCAAAAACTCTTGTGTGACATGTTACTCACACCTGACGAATTTAAGGTAATACTTCAAGACTAGTCTGCACTGACTCTTAATTTAAATTAGGTATAAATTCATTATATAAATTGTGCTACTTCTTAAAGTTTGCTTACAAACATGATTCCAAGTAATGTCGAAAACAATGAAATCTGTTCATTATTAAGTGGTCTAATAGCATTATTAATGAAATAATTATTTTTAAAAATAATTATTACAATCATGATAGTCACAATATTCTTTTTGTCTTTTTAGTTACGACTTCGTATGCAAGGAGACAAGGAAGGTAAACATGATCACTGTATGCAGATCCCCATCACAATAGGATCCGATCCCACCAGAGAAACATCATTCACCGGGAATAATGAAGGTAAGGGAGAAATTCTCGGTATTCAGTGACTTCACCGTGAAGTATGCCTTATGATTCTTAGGAAAGGTATTTGTTATCGTAATTTTCGCATGGTGCGTTGTGTAGGCTCGAAATCTTATAGTAACTCGCAGCAACCGTGTTCTCTATAAACGGCTGGTAGAGTGTTGGGTACCAACTGTTAGCTTTAAATCTGAAATATGCATGATACTTTGGGTTTTATTGAATGCCTGTCATTTTAATTTTATACTTCATTTTAATCAAAATCGTACGACAACGGCACATGTCATGTGATCCACAACGGAAAACTCAGCGAGGCGTTTGGAGTAAACACAGGAGTCAGACAAGGGTGCTTATTATCACCAATGATATTCCTAATTGTGGTGGACTGGATTATGCATCAGACAGTGGGAAACGAGAAAACAGGGATATCCTGGACTGACGTGAAGGACCTAGAAGACCTGGATTTCGCGGATGACTTATGTTTGATGTCACACAAAATCGAAGACTTACAAGCGAAAACCGACAAACTGGTCGAAGAAGCAGCAAAGACAGGACTCCAGGTGAACATAGACAAGACGGAGGTTATGAAAATAACCAACCAAGAACAGCAACAGCAGCAGCAACATCCAGTGTCAATCACCATCAACGGGAGGGATTTGAAAGAGGTTACTTCATTCACTTATCGAGGGAGTATTGTCTCAACTACAGGCAGGTGGAACGAACGAGGATGTCAAATCGAGAATCGGGAAGGCGAGAAACACACTCATCAACCTAAAAACAATCTGGAAATCTTCGTCACTCAGCATCAACAACAAAACTCGGATTTTCAATACAAACGTCAAGTTAGTCAGTTCTTCTATACGGATCAGAAACTTGACGGCTCACAAAGAACATTTCCAACAGCCTGTTGCAAACCTTTACCAACAACTGTCTTCGTTCTATACTCAAGATCAGATGGCCAGAAAGAATCACCAACAAGAAACTATGGGAACGAACAAAACAAGAACCAATCGCCCAACAAATATGCAGGAGAAAGTGGAAATGGATTGGACACTCTCTGAGGAGGCCGCTGGGTGACATCGTGCGTCAGGCCATAGCTTGAGTGGAACTCGAAAGGGAAGCGGCGAGTGGGACGTCCAAGGGTGACATGGAGGAGATCGTGTGAAGAGGAGTTGAAACAGTATGGACTAACATGGACGCAGGTGTAAAGTACAGCAGAAGACAGAAGCAAGTGGAGACGTGCAGCTGAAACCCTATGTTCCACTAGGAACCCAAGGGAACAATAATAATAATAATAATCAAAATTGACAAATTTAAAATAACCAAGTCTCAATTTTACCTACAGTGTTCATTACAGACTATACTGTAGTCTTATTTTCTGCACTACTACTTATTGCTAGCCTGATTCTATACTTTTTCATATGTCTATATACATTGGTAGACTTGATCACTAGATAACCCTATAGTTGATAACATTTCGTTTGTGAACACCAACCTGTCTATAAGTACTGACTTTGAAATATTATTGCTTATAAATTTGTCTCTGTTGACTGACTTTCTTATCAAGTGAGAAAACTGTTGAATAGCCTGTGATATTTCGCCTGTATTTTCCCTGTCATTTGAACTGATGGAGACATTTCTAATCCAATTAAAGATTGTGGCGTTAAATAATGAGTTGCATTAATCTGAAACAGTTCATTATTACTATCTGCATATATGAGAATCTCTAGTGGTTTTAGAACTCGTTAGTAAAAATGGATTGAAATTTCAACAACACTAGAAGCAATCAGCACAACAGTATGTTTTTCTGGTTATACGTGTATTTGGTCAATGAAGTGCATTCTACGATTTCTTATATTCTCCTCACTGCAGCGTGTGAATTTACCCTCTTCATTTTTCATGGTTTGATATATTTGGTTATGAGTTTCATTTTCAAAACACTATTCACCCCTCTTTAGTGGTGTCGTATTCGATTCTACTGCTAGGGATATATAAACTTAGAGCTTATAAATTTGTGAACACAAATTTATTTTTGTTCACTGCTCTGAGCACTGTTCATTATTATTGTTATTTATTTTATTCCTCTAGAACATTCCCAGTGGAACATTTGGCTTCAACCTAGAGCACAGAAGTTTCGGTAGCAGTAGTATTATTCTATTTTAGGGGGTGACGTTGCTAGCCTCATGCTCAACCTTCCCTCTCTACCAGTCTTATTACCGGCTTAGTGAAGTGAAGTAGTGCGTCCGCTGGGGACTGAACCCCAGACCACATGCGTTGTGGGCGAGCATTCTACCACTAAGCCACTGACACATCTCCTATGTGCATTTATTCAACCGCATGTATTAACATGATGTACAAGAGTAAATAAGAGTCAAAGTAAGCATTGAGCAGAAGACATTTGAATCAGATTACAGATGGGAAGAATGTTTCAACAGACGTATTTAATACACTACCTTATCTTTTTGTAAAACCTGTACAAATCAATGACATAAAGACATCAATATTTTTGAAGACTGACAAGCAAACAGCCACAATGACTAGAAAGAGAGGGGTAAAAAGCAAAAGCAAAAGAAAACACAACGGAAGACACCAAATCAGTGCCTAGTTGCCTAGTCTTACATTCTTCTGCCTTGTTTTTAAAAAAACTTTCTTTCTCGGTGTGGTGATGAATAAGAAAACATATTTAGATAGGTAAAAATGAAAGCAAACAAAAAATATGTATTGAATTAAGCAAGATTACATGATGCTTGTATGACAGTTGGAAAACAGTTGTTCTTATCAGTTTCTCAGGAGAAAAAAATAACTGGAAGTAACATAAAAATTCAAAGAAAAGGAAATTGTTATTATTCACTATGTGTGTTTTTTTCTTCATTTCAGTTGATCTAAGCATGTACAGCATGACTTCACGTATACCTGCGAAGTAGTAGTGTAATGAAAATACAGAATGTAACAGAATTTTTAATACTTCGGGAGGAGGGGTGTGTGAAAAAGGAAAATGATCATGTGGTGTGCTTCTTAGTTAATAACTTAAGAGGCGAAGAAGAAGAAGAATAATGCAGTGTAGCTTTCACACGTTTATCTATACGCATACACATGTGTCATAGCTAACTTTGTTTATCTTTCGTTTTTGTCTAATTTCTTGCTAACCAAGCCCTTTTGTCGTTATTTTGGCTTAAACTTATTTCCAAATCTATAATGTTCATTTCTGTATGTCAATAGGTGAGAGTTAGAAGGGAGGTTGCATTGGTATAATAAATTGTAAAACACAACATAATTATGCTAGTAGGCATGGGGTAAATGACCAAAGCAGTAGATAATTAAGATGGATGAATAAGTGCGTACATATAGACATGCCTCATACATACCTTCACTTGTAGTTTACACCTATAAAAACTAAATGGGAATTAATGTATCCTTCACTAATCATGTAGTGAAAATGTACGTAAAGCGACAGTCTCTTTCGGTAGTCTCATGACAGAATGCCTTCTACCTCGTCATCGTCCTTCTAATTCTGTATTCCTGCTTTATCTCACTCCCACCTATATTATTTAAAATTACAGTCTTTAGTTAAACAGACTGCAATTACTCTCAAAGTCTTTCCATGAGTAACAGAAAAGAAGGTAATAATTTTTAGTGCATTTAAATTTCAAGTTTTACTCAGCCAAAAAATGAAAAAAGTATATTCATCTGACTCACCTCTACTAATCATTAGAGTAGTCATCATTTTACTGAGCAGTCTACATACGATTCCTCAGATTCACCATTCTCATTTGATAAGAATCAGTCTGTTGCTGATAAGGAATATACTGAAAAGTTAAACTGGTTAGTTATGTAATCTAAAATTAAGAAATAGTTGTTTATTCATCACTCAGTTAGTACAATAATAACTAATAAGTTGTTCTCAAAGCTGTGTTAGTAAATAATACAATAAAGCTTTAATTTTCAAGCATTGGTTTAGTGGGATCAGACTTATTTGAAGTTACATCCCGGGAAAAAGTTGTCTAGAGTTCTGGTGAGTTGTTACCATTGGGGACCACCATGTCAGAAGTGAGCATATGCATTCACCGGTGACACTGACTTGCAATGGCACCATATGTTACAATTTGGTAGACCTTAGAATTCATGGGCCATTGGATTCCATCCCAAAGGGCGAATGTCCAACAGGCTTGCCTGGTGACCATAAAGTCTTGGGTGCAATCACGGCTATGTATTATTGTAGAGTCCCCAACTAGGACATAATAGCTCTCTTGCACCCCGCCCTCATTTTCAATGGTTCTCTTACCGAAGTCACTTCGTGATTTAACTTGAAATCCAACTTTACCCAGTCATTTACCTGAAATACTGTCTGGACAGAAGTTTAAAAAAAACTTTGGTTACTTATTTCCTAAACCTGCTCAGAGGGTCCTTTACCTGGTTTTTATTCTCTCAACTTTTTCCCGCCTTTCTCCTTTATTATCATATATCTCTTTTCATCATTCCCCATTCCTGAAAGTGTTCGGTTAGTTAGTATATATGTACTGTTTGTTATTTCGATGGATTGTATAATTATCTTCTCTGCTTTTCTCATCCATTTGTTGTTGTTTTTTTCTGTTCTTGTTTTCTCTCCTTCATTTTTTATGTTTTCATGTCTAAATGATGAATTCTTGTTCCTGCCAATTTAAGGTTAATGTTTTTTTTCTTCTTTCAGCTTACAAGCAAGAATCCATTAGTTTTTGAGTGACAGTTTCTATCTAGTAAATGTTACTTATACAATTATTTCATAATTCAAAATTTATTTACTTTACTTGTTATCGTAAGCTGAAAAGAACTAGTGTGTGTGTGTGTGCATGTGCTATTTGTACATAATTTTGCTGTAACTGTTCACGGACGGACCTTAAGATGTTTTCAATTAGCTGTAGTGATGCTAGCTTTCTCACGCTGAAGTACACTCTAGCTAATCTATATTGTGTATAGGGATTTTTAAAAAAGGCTGTTCAGAATTTACTGCACTCATCAAAAGTAAGCCCATTTGATTACAGCCGACCATTTATGTATGAATTGAAACAACTTGTTAATTTCATCATATAGTCTTAACCTCTTTGGCTTTTTGATCTATGGCTAAAGTGCAAGTAATTTTTCCGGCTTTCAGGTTTCGTATGGAATGGGAAACTGTGTTCTAGCTACACATAGCCTTTTTGATTAATAACACAAACTACAGCTGAGATAATTCTGTCAAGTGTATTCAACAACAAATTAAACCCAACGGTCTGATAATTAGCTACAACAAACAATGTACTAAGAATTTAAATTCGAAAAGTGATACAGTCACACCGTGTTATCGATCATGGGTTTTCTTAATAGAGTGGTGATGCAGTAGGAGTGAATTAAATCTGCGTTATACTGATAAATAATTTTTAAAAAATATGCTTATCGCATTATTAGCTACAGACACATTGTATTGCAGTGAAGATTTAGATTACCTCTAAGCGTCTAATATCATGAAATCAATGTGCGCCGTGATGGCAAGCTACCTAGAATGGTGGCGACATTGCAAATCTGACAGATAGAATTCAGTCTGCACCAAAAAACGGTCTAGATACATCACACTAGCTACTAGTGTCCAATCAAAGATTAAGATTAGTCTGTGTATTCACAGGTTAATCAAGTCAAGGTGTTTCGTGATTTCAGTAGATCAATCTTCTAATTAATGTCTTTCTGTCTTCTTACATATTATGTTTTGATTTTTAAAATGTGCCAACTTCCACTCAATGTACTTCTGCGCTCAAGTTTTACGTTGACCTATGAGTGAAATGCAAAATTAGAGATTATTGCCGTTACAAATTCTGTTGATGAACAACACGAGATAACTTTAAATGTTGTACTCTGCGAAGCATATTTCACTGTTTGAAGGAAAGCAGTTGGCGTTCTCATCTTTTGCAAGTATGATTTCCATCCATATTTAAAATAAACATTTATCCTATGCGTTACTTGTTATTACTATTCCAGGTATGATGAAAAATGCACCAGAATGACTTGACGTGCTTATAAATTCTTGTGGCGTTTTGTTTATGTAACAAGCACTCGATTGTTGCTATATGCCTCATAGTTTAGAGTTAGTGAGTAAAAGAGTTTGAAGGAAACATACTGACAAACAAAATTCCTGGTTGGCATAAGAATAGAACTTGGACACTGTGGTGAAGTATAATTCCAATGTAAAACAGTGTTATTCGACACGACTCATAGCGATATACAATTTATTGCTTATATGCTGATTGTATACGTATTTGTATATATGTATTGGTAAAAATATTACTAATATCTAATTTTATTTTATCATATTTTTAGTTGTACCTTGTTATGCATCATTCAATTTCGCTTCTGGTGATATTGTTGAATACGATCCATCAGATCAGACTACAGCGACGAGTTTAACACCAGTCTATCGATACTTTAAACCTAAACCAATAGAAAAACCTGTAAATAGGTCAAACATAACATTTTCTTCTGAATCACCAGTGAATAGCAATAGTATAAAATCAGTACAGATCACATCAAAGTCTAGTCCTTCAATACTCAAAACACCCGGCACTTCAGGTGTGCCTACTGGTACTGGTACTGGAGCTAATACAACGAGGAATAATCGACAAAACTCCTTTAAATCGAACAAGTCATTATGCGATAATGAGAACTTGCAACAAGTTCCACGAAATTTTCATCGTCAACAGGACAAACGGTTGAAGAATATAGCCGGTTCACCAGATATGAATAAAGCCTCGTTTACGACACTATATAATTCTGATGGAGCTAAATCAGACAGTTGTTCATATAAACAGACACAAAATAAAATACGCAAGCATACCTCATCGTACAAACTAAAACATCAAAATAATTTTCAAGATGTAACACCTCAAAAAACACACATTTCACGTTCAGCCGGAGTAATTTCAACTCCTACTGACTTAGACAAAGAATCCCCACAGGTATTTTTATCTAGTCAACAGTTTTTCGATGATGGTGGTGTAATTATACAAACTGATCCAAATGAGTCTAGTGATGCCACTGATCGATTATTTAAGTCTTGTAGACTGAATAAAAATGAGACAATAATTTCACCGGTTGAGAAAAGTAGAAACCTGTCTCATCAATCAGGTAAACATCATCAGTTGAAAACATCACATGAAAATGATGCAGAAGACTATTTATCGTCTAATGTAATTCAGAAAAAACATCCCCACACATCACCGTTTTGTCTACATTATTTAGAAGAATCAGGTTTAGGATATAAATGTAAATCACAGACAAACATTCCATTACGCCAACATTCAGTTGGATTATTGCCAGATCAACAGTTGCAGTTTGATAATACTGAAAGTTGTAAAGGTAACAGGCACCCGTCTAATGAGCATTTTCAGCAATACAGTTCAAGTGTAATCAAGCCAAATCCAGTTCATTATGATGATAATAATGATGAGGTGGAGAACAATGAAGGCGATGAAGATGAGGAAGATAACATTCCTTATGAAAGTAATACTGATGATATAACTAGTGATGAAATTAATAGGTTCACTTTTAAGGCAAGTCACTTCTATCTGTCATCGAATGACAATTTAAAACAGTGTACAGAAAGGCCATTCAACTCAGACAATCTTTCAACAAGAACACATGAAAGTTCTTCTGTTTCCAGTGAAAATGAAGACGAAGACGAGGATGAGGAAGAAGAATATGATGATGACGAGGAGGGGGAAGAGGACGAGGAGGAGGGGGAGGAGGAAGAGGACTACACTGACAACAATGTCGCAAATAATCAGTGCATTTATGAAGAAGACGCTAGTGAAAACAAGGATGGCAGTCAGCCTGATGACAATGAAGAAGAATCAGAGAAACAATTCGGAAACCAGCGACAAAATGAAAAGCAAGAACCATTGAAACAATCATTAAAGATTTCCCACGAAGAATTGCATTCCCAGTCGTCTTCCAGTCCTAATCATACATCAGCAGATATAAGAGAGTTATATTTCAAAGTTCAGCAAATATCAGAGCATAAAAATATTCCAGCTAATTATACATTTAAACAGAATAAAAGTATATATGATGCATATTGGAATTGTCCAAGGGTTGAGCCTATTGTGGGTCGTAAGTCTGAAACAGATGGTTTCTGGACATATGGTCATGGAAGTACAAGTGAAAAAGCAACAGAAAGCAACGAAACCAGTACATAAATGTCCTGCGTTGGAAAGCTATTCCCTCTTGTTTTGTAAATTTTAACTTTTTTTTTCTAAAAATAAGAAAGAATATTTTAACCTCAACTATGCTTCCATTTCATACAGAAATAATTAGTAGTGTAAAAAAAGAAGACTTCTTGAATCTTTCAAATAATAATCTTTTTATACTTAATTCGTATAACAAACAACGTTTATCTTGTAATTTTTTTTGTTTTTAACGGCGTTTTAAGTAAAATAACAGAATAATTGTGAACAGATTTCACTAATAACTAGTTACGGTGATGAATTGCAGCTTAAACAGATTTCTTTTCTCGTTCAACACAAAAGCCTAATGAGCAAGGAAATATTTTTTGTTGTCGTGAATATCAATCATTTGAAAGCGTTTTCACAGTGAATTATGCAACATGAAATTATGACAAAACCCCTTCTAATTAGTAATTTTGCTAATGATAAATGAATAACAATGATTATAGTAATTCGGGCAGATGGTAAAAGGCTGAAAAGATGACCTGCACAATGCAATGTGTTTTAATGCAATGCTCAGTGTGCAAGCATGTTTTTCTCCTTTTAAATCTAAAATAAATATGAGCAATTATTGTATATAAGTGATTGTGCTAATAACATATACCACGGTGTGAGTGCACACTATTTCTGATTGATTAATTAATGAATTACATTCTCCTGACTTTTATTTTTGAATAAATAGAATGATAAGTCTTACTTACTGGATAAATCATACTTAGGTTTTGTGTTGAGTTTCGTGTTTATATAATGATCAACTTTTAAACGCGTCAGAGATTCAGCGATAGAATATTCACCAACCTCAGTGTCCGTATTCCACGGTTAGATAACTGGCTGACGCACTCCAAAACCTTACTCAGCCGGTAATAAGGTCGGTAAAGAGGGGAAGTTGGATGGGAGGCTAGTAACACCACCCTTTAAAAAGAAAATAACATCACTGCTACTGAAAATTCAGAAGTCAAAGTTTGAAGGCCTATGCTGCACTAGGAGCGCAAAGGAATAAAATAAACAGGAAGAATTCAGGAAGGTTAGACTCATAAAATTAGTCAGTTTCTTAAGAATCCAACAAACAAGGATGTTTTTTTATTCGCTTCAATACCAGACTTAAACATCTTCACCTTTCTGTTAAGTAGTGTTTTGAAATAAACTATATACATATCGTGCCCATTCTCCTTTAGACATACTTCCGACAAAGTTCAGCAATAGCATCTCAGGAGTGCGAACGCACGAGTGCCCTTCGGTTGACCAATCATAAAAATGAGGAATGTTTGCTCAAAAAATGACGTATATTGACAAGAAAATGCTTGAAAACGCATTGAACAGGTTATCTTTCTCTGACATGGCTTAAAAATACGTCCTAGTTGTAACGAGGAGTATCAGTTGCTAAGTTAGACTAGTTTCTGTACATGTATTCACCGAGATGACTACATATAAACTGTTTTTGTGAACCATTTATCTCTCTCATTCTGCTTGTAGTCTTCCAAAAAAGCCCTCGGTTGAATTATTATGGTTTCCAGCAAGAGGATAGACGACTACTTACCAGGAAAACGTGGATAATAAAATAATTAAAATAAATGACATCAACTATAAATCCATCCCTAATCGTAACCATAAGCTTAATCCTGACCCAAACACTAAATCTAACCTTAGTCCTAACCCTAATCATAACTCTTATTCAAACTGTAATTCTAACCCTAATGCTAACTAACTATAACCCAGATCCTAACCCTAACCTCAATACTTACCTTAACCCTAATCCTAGCCCCAACGAGCTATTAACACATTGTCTAAACAGTTGATATTTCAGCTATGATAATGACAGATGCCGTTAGCCAACGACTAGCATGCGTTCAAGGTCATTGGAGCGTTCACACTACTGGGACGCTATTGTTGAACTTCGCCATACTTCCTTTGACAGTTAACCAAACTGACTATTGGTGATACTTGTATAAAATGAAAAATGTTCACTATCAATGATTCTTGATAAATGTTTGTAGCTCTGTTGTATGTGCTACGAGACAGATAAGCTGTTCCTTTCAAACTCTTGACTCTGGCAACATTCAACTTCCAAATGAAACTGAACAATTGACATGGAAAACTGTTTATACCTCCTCCATTCTTCTATGGTCTAAAGAAAAGTAAGAACTATAGGAGATAAAACTGCAAATATTGCTTAGTTTACAAATTTGTTTCATGTACGTCTATTGTACCTAATTATGAAGATAAGTATAACGTTGATGTAGAAGTTAAAACGCAATCATACACCCAGTGTTCTTAAGTAAAATAAGCAAATGTTATTTATATAAGATACTGTTTTCCTCAAAACAAATTGGTCCACTTGAAGTGTGATAACTTTTAACAAACTGTGGAACTGATAAGATCTTTGCTTAATCCCCTGCAGAAAGACTCTACCTCACAGTTTGGACTTTGATGAAAATCAGTCTTAAGCTTATCGATGTTTAGTCGAATTGAAAACTTCAAGTAGGCCGCTTTCACTTACAGAGGGATGAAAACTAACAGGCATTTATTCACTATCGTATTCAGTCCTTTAGTTCAGAGTAGTTTTCATTTTCTTGAGGAAAATTAACAAGGAGCTATCACGAAAAACTATGACGTATGTCCCACAAGTATTATACAACTGTTCCTAGTATATAACTGGCAAAGTTTTTCTAAAATATCCTTCTCCGACTTCTTCATCTGGCCTTGAATCGTTAATTAAAAAGATAATCATGGCATTAAAGTGTTTCTTAATAGGTACAGGTAACTAAATAATATCACGAAAGGTAACCCTTAATTCTATCCTAAATCATAGTCTACTTCCAAACAAGTGTCAGAGTTTTCTAAAAAACCAAGTTAATTTCTTAGATATTTTAAAGGTTCCCTTAACTACTGCTGCCTTAAAACCGACATGTTTACTTCAGTTCACATCATTTATTCTGTGCAAATTACAGACACCACGAGTTAAAGTTGACAGGGCTAAAAAAGCGCTCACCGTGAATACCTTCGGTTTAACTGGACATGAAAACAGGTAAAGACACTAAGAATTTCAGAGTACTTCGAGTATCAGAATATGACCAAAAGTTGCTTGAAATGCAAGCTAGTTTGCAAGTATATAGAAAAAGGCGAAACAGTGACACTACAAGACTACTGGAAAATTTTGGTAGCTTTAGCTTCTCGATTAAGAATTTATCTATGCTAAATATGGTAGTAACAAAGTGTTTCAAAGAATAATAATAATAATGATCCATTTGAATGCATTTCAGAGGTACGTTTTTTGAATGATTGTGTCTGACATCTAATTCAAACTAAACATTATTTATTATTTTGCCATTCTCTTGGGTTTCGAGAGTGAATACAAGGGCTTCAGCAGCACATCTACATTTAATCCTGTTGTCTGCATTCCCCTTTAGCTACCTCAACGATTGCCCACAAACTTTCATCCCCTCCTCACACACAACCTCCTCCATTCGAGCGGTGGCCTGTCGCATGATGTTACTCGACAGCCTCCTCAAAGTTTGTTTAGTTAATCCCCATTTTATTCGGCGCATTTGTTCAGCAATAAGTTATTGGTCGGTTTATCACCGGAATTCCTCGTTGCTTATCTCTCTGGCCATCTGATTTTCGGTGTGGAGAGAAGACAGCTGTTGACAAAATATTGAAGCCAGTTTTGAATACGTTTGCTGACACGTCTGTCAAGTCTCTGAACCATACAGAAGAAGTGAACTGACTCGTGTTGAAAATACGAAATTCATTTTTTATGCTGAATGCAGTAGATTTCCAAACTGATTTCAGTGTGGTGAAGGTCTGCCTGGTCTTTCTGACATCTTCATGCATGCCGCTTCCTACTTAAATGAAAGAGGTAACTTCCTTTACCTTTCCCCCGCTGATAGTGATTTTTGCTGTTGACTAGGTAACTCCATCACCTCTGACTTCTCTACGTTCACTTGAAGTCCTATCTTCACTGCTTCTGCAGTCAACTTGTTGGTTTTTGGCTGTAGATCTTCGAGTTTATTTGAAATTAAAAACATAAGTCGTCTACGAAGTCCAGATCTTCTAGAGTTTTTACTTGTCGGCCCAATGTATGGCTGTTTTCTCTCTCTCCCTACCGTCTGATTCAGTCCACCACAATCAGGAATATCATTGATGACAGTAGGCAGCACAGTCTTACTCCTGTTTACAGAGACACTGCCGAGTTTTGAGTTGTGAATCACTTGACATGTGGAATCGTCATTTAAGTGTTGAACTAGGTTGGTAAACAAAGTGATGCTGAAAACCAGCACACCATTAAACGACATCTTTTCAGCAAAATAAAGGTCAAATAACTCCTTTGCTGTATGTCTGAAGCGTCTATTAACTGAATGAGTAGATATGAGTGTCATATATTCTTTAGAGATGTCAGTCTTTCTGAATATCGACAGACGAAAAAGTTAATCTAGAATGATGAATAGGAGCACATTACTACAAGTTAACAATGTTGACTAATGTAAACAAATATGAATGACGATTTAACTAAAACTCATTTAGTAGTCATATGTTTCATATTGTAGCCTAGTAATTCCGTCCTCCAATAACTTTAATGGCCCGTGTGTTTCTGTCGAAATCAAATGACCTTCATTAGTGAGGAAGATATACGACTCACGGCGGAAATACCAAATACCCAGTACTGTTCAAGCTCTGATATTTAATCTTAAACGCCTCACTAGGACATTAGATGGCGTCAGTAGCACTAAAATTTGGAAAACACCGGTAATTTGTTGGCTTTTTAGACTTTTCCTATGAAGAAGATGCAAACTGTTGAGTTTCAAATCATTACGAATAAAACTTTACATCGGGTTACTTCTAATCTACACTTCTATAATGCTTACGTCTTCTTATTACCTATAGAAGCTTTGGATAACTAACTTAGTTTTGGACGGATGTTCTTTGTAGTCTGGATTCAAACAAATCGATGCGCCGATTTAACCGCTGGTTGCGCTTAGAATACGGCTTCAAGAAGTCCACTGACAGGTATTTTGTCTCCTTGAAATCATATGGAAGTTTCCAGTTCAATTCACATTGAGTGCTGTTAGGGATTCCGAATTCGAATGGAATTTTTTCTTTAAATGAATACTTGCATCTTGGATGAAAAATAACTTGGAATGAAAGTAATCCACTCAGACTTTTCATGATTACTTCTTTTCACTAAGTAAAAGACGGGAACTCTGAAGACACAAATATACACACACAGTGATGTAAAGTATTTACCGTTTGACGTTCTGCCTAAGCTGTCATGCTTCTTTAGGTTTCTTATTTTTCATTATAGAATAAGGTTCATTAAATAATTTTTTCTTTTTTGTTTTTTGAATAAATTTTAAATCGACTATCTATAATCTCAGTGTATTTATTTTCTTATCCCGAATTTCTCTGTTCCTTTTCACTTGCTCATTCACTATAGCGCACTCATCTGTTTATTCTTCGTTTGCCTGCCGTCCCTTTTTGTTTATGTCTGTCTATACGCGTACATATATCCACTAGTATAAGGAATAAGACAACCGATACACTGCTGCACAATAAAACTGGAGGGAAAAAATCATAAAGGTGGAAATTCACTTGTGAAACACCTTTATCCCTCATCATAGTCATT